CATTAGAATGACCACAAAATGGCGTGGATTGGAACCACTGAGAGCCAAAAGGCAGTATCAGAAAGCACACAGATGGCAAGATCCAGTAGCGAGGGATGGAACACTGACCTTTTCTGCCCCTCTGAAATCAGCAAGCAGTACACCCCTTAAGATGGAAAGTACATTCTCAACAGTCAGAGCAGGTTTATACCACAAGAACAACTGAGGGAGGAAAAAAGAACAACTCTGAACTTACGTTCTTGAAGGTCTGAAACTATCTGCAAGTTGAACTGCAGTACAGTGAATCACTTAACTTTGTGATTCCCATAAAATGATTGCTGGGACTATGCCAATACTGTGTTTGTGACCCACCAATAAGACTGGAGAGCCTGCTAAGAATGTAAATAAGGTACAGGGAACCCCTGTGAGGATAAGACCATGAAAATAAGGTATATGGAACTGTAACAAGGGGATTGGCCAGTTTTGCCATCCTGCTGTTGTTGTTGTTGTTATGTGCCGTCGAGTCAGCCATCCTCCTAGGCTTAAAAAAGAGAGCCAATCCCAGAGTGGGGGGTTGGGGGGAACCTTACTAACACCAAGAAAAAGAGACAGGAGCAAAGCATGTCCTTTGGACCCAGGTTCCCTGTGCTAAGAACCTCCTAGACCAAGGAAAGAGAACGAGTGAGCAAGAGAGCACACACTGTAACATTAGAGATGACATGACACAATGAGAAATGGAAGCAGCAGAACCAGACCAATGCAAGACAGAGGAGTAGGCTGGAGAGCAAGGTGGCTACAGTGGGTATGCCAGCCCACAGAGCAAGAGAGTTGAGTGCCTTTGGGGAGGAGGCTTCCTGGTGGAATAGGACACTTATCAGGGAGCTAAACACCTTTGGAATACTTGCCGGAGCAGGGCAGAGGCCAGCCCGAGGGGCCCAGGGGCTGAGGAAGAAGTCTGTCTGGGAGCAAAGCAAGGAGCTCTCCTGACTGAAGAAATGTATCCTGAGTCATTCCTCATACTGAATTATGACCTGTTAAACAACAGCAGCAACAACAAAAAAAACCCAAACCCACTGCCATCAAGTGGATTCCAACTCAAAGTGACCCTACAGGACAGAATAGAACTGCCCATAGGGTTTGCAAGACTGTAAATATTTACGGCTGGTGGGTTCAAACCACCCACCTATTGGTTAGCAGCTGAAAACCTTAATTGCTGCACCACCACAACTGTTACTTCCCTAATAAACCCCCAAATCTAGAGTATGGTCTGTGAGTTTTGTGTGAGCATTGCAACAAACTATCAAACCCAGCACAGGAGTAGAGGGCTGTGGGGGGGACTGTTGGTGTGAAAATTGGTTCAAAAGGTTGGAAGGTGAAGTATGCTTGATTTCCACCCACAGCGATCAGCTTTGGGCTGATAATCATTCTCCCCTTTCCCTGTGAAGTTAGTCGAGGAGGTCTGGTGCCACCACGATGTTGTCTTTTATAGAAACTAATGTCTCTACACACAGAAGTCCTTCCGGGAGCAGCAGGCTTTGCAGTTTCTGCCCTGATTATTCCCAGGGCCTCAGATGAGTATCTAAGGCTTCAGAAACAAACACTGCAGAATCCTCTAGTTTTCTGAGGCTACTGAAGCAAACACCCCTCAGTTCTCCATCTCCAAGGTAGCATCTTCTTCAGCCTGGGGTCTTAGGGAGCTAGTACATAGGTGGTACCAGCAACAAATAAGGAGTAGGGTCCAGGGCAGTGAGAGGGAAGTTCTCAGCCTTCTCAGGTCAGCCAGAGGTGGGAGCACTGGGGCGGGTGGCAGGGCCATCCATGGCCCTCCTTCATCCCTGTTTCCTGGCTGTTGAAAGACATCCCCAGCCAGACCTGAGTGATAGTATTGTGCCCAGAAAGACCCACTCCAACTGATAGGGTAAGAAGAGAGATAGTGTTAACACAGGCCTGGTGGCCAGGATGACCAGAATGATCCCATCGCTTGGACCTGGAAATTCCTGTGGGGAAAATCTACAGAGCTACGTCCCTCAAGAAGGGATAAAGAATTCCTGCCACATGTGGTCAAAGCAAGAGAATCACAGAATGGCAAAGCTGGGGAAGGGGTAACCAACTGCAATCCAACCCCAAGCACATAACATCACTCTCAAAAGGACCAACAGGACGTTCAACTCAATGTCAGCCCATAGAAATCTTACCCAACTTTCAATGTCCACCCTATGGAAAACTCTGTGGAACTACTTCACTCCTGCAAAAAAGGACACATCCTCCAGGCCCACTATTCTTCCACCTGGAGGACTCAGTAAGGATGAGCTGAACTGGACTGTAAAACAAGCAGCATCAGGATTTCTGAAGCCCCTGCTGACACCTATCCCTACCTAAACCCCACTGTCACGGCCATCTGTTGAAGGGACACCCAAGGAGCCCCCTTGGCCAGGTCTATTGGACCTTCCATCCTTGAGGAGGGCTCCTCTGTCTCTCACCCTGGGAAGACACCCTGATTGGTACCACTCCCAGAACAACGACTCAGCACTTGAACAAATGTGACTATGAGAGAATCTCAGTGAAAGGAGCAAAAGTCACAAACCCAGTCTCCAGTCAGGGCACTGGAAGGCTACAGACAAAGAAATTCTGGAGAGATTCCCAGCACTGTGAGAACATCCAGCAGAGACCCCTGGGGAAATGAATAGCTAGACTCAGCAGTCATAGCAATTTGGAGTGGTGATGGCCTTGCTCAAAGGACCCCAGACCTTCCTGGGCCCACACTGGAGGTCTACCACTCTGAGGTTGCTGCCAGGCACTGGAAAGGAGAGTGGGCCCACTAACAGCCTTTCTACTTTGGTACTCCAATCACCGGTAAGAAAAAAGGAAAATAGAATTTCAATACCTACCAAGGGAACTCTAGAATTTTTGATGTAAGGTGCCTTCAATTCCAAAATTTGAGAATTCTGTGTCAAATCATTCATCCCAACACAATTCACCAAATGCAAAGACAGCAAACATGGTTTGAAGAAGAGATCTGGGTTCAAAGTCACTAAGAGACCTAGTTTTCAGCCAGTTGAGAAGCCAGGCATCCCAACATCTGTCCTCAGGATTTGTGTAGCCACATCCCAACTGCCCCACACCAGGCCCCACCTCCCAAGTCAGCCCTGTAAGAAAGAAGGGTATAGATAGATTCTGAAGAACATCAAGGTTCTCTCATTTCTCAGATTGAGATGGCCACCTCATTGACCCTATGTGTCCTGCTGCCCACCTACACTGGCAAACCGAGCCTCTTCTAAGCCTGCGGGATAAATCTGATTTCCATGTCCTCATGACCTCAGGATACAAAATAGGAAAAGTGAGTTCAGGGAAAGGTAAGCCCTGGTGAGGATTTCTGGGCAGTATCCTTGCCTTCTCTACTTCACCAGGGAGAATGTCTAGGCATTGCAATTCAACTGCAGGGAAACTTCCGGAGCTAGAGCCCAAGGACCAGGAAAAAAAGAAAAAAAAAACACCACTGGGAAATGTTCAAGGCAAAAAAGAGAGAGAGAAAGAAAGAAGCTAGCCAGAAGCTTTCTGCATCATGGGTCCAACTAAGCCCTCCTCTGAGACTTGGCATCCTGCTTGTTGTTGAGGCCAGGTCTGCAAGAACTATGGCTTTAAAGCTGCACTGGGTCAGAGGAATCAAGCCTTGCCAAGAGACCTCTTCCCCAAGTCCTACTATCTTTTCTGGACTGGTCTCTGAAGTTATCATCACTCCGTCAAAAATGTCTTTACAAAGCCTGCTACAACAATACTCTCAGGTCAAATATATCCATTCTCCCAAAATTCAATGGGGTCCCTGGAACTATCATTAAAGACAATTTCCCAAGGTCCAACTTCCTGCCTGTTGTTCATAGGCAGCTCCAGCCCTTGGGAACCAAGCAAGCAAGGAAACCTGACTATGCAGCTGCCACACTTCAGAATGGCCCTAGATTCTGAAACTGAGGCCTACAGCTCAAATGAACCCCAACTACAAGCAAGATCTCTCTTACTTCACACAGGGCTCACAGACCTCTGGCCTGGATTCTACATTGTTCTCCATTAAATCCCATCTTACCACTACCATTCTCATGGACAGTCATCCTTCCCTGTTGAGCAGTTCCATGCTGACTCGGGGACGGGGCATCTAAAACAGACCTTAGAAGCTCACACATCCAATCTCACCTCCGTGACTTCCTTCCTCCCTTTTTCCACTAACACTGCCGGCCAACCCACCCACAGCTGGGGCATGGTAACGGATAGAAAAAGGCGGGGGCTGGACCTATCAGCCTGATGCCACCGCGCCCCTAACAGCATCGGGCTCAGATCTCCAAAGACTGGCTAGAGGTGAAGTCCTGCGTGGGACCGACCCCCTTCGATCCCAGATTCCCTGATTCTGCCCTCTAAGCAAGAATACCTACGGCAGGGATTCCAAGAAGGGCTGGAGAATTTCGTGCTCTTCCCGGGGGGGAAACAGGGGAGCGTTCGCCTACTCCGTAGCTGAGTACTGAGTGAGGGTACCAAGTCCGGGCAGCGTTGGCTGACGCCCTTACCCATGTTGACTTCGAAGCGAGCCGAGTAGCGCGCTGCCCATCCCCGGATCCTTCGCAGGAGGGTGGCAAGAAGCAGGACCGGGGTCGGCCTGCTGGCCTGCCTGCAGAGTGTGCAGGATTTGGACAGGCCAGGCTAAGCGGGGCGGGGCCCGGAGAACCCCATCCGGGTGGTCCGAACTAGAGAAAAAAGCCTGGCCAGGGTGCAGACCAGTGCATGCGCGCAGTAGGCACAGACTGCCCGGATAGGCGCCTGGCGGGTTCTCCCTACGTTCCCCCCGGCCGCCGCCTCAGAGGACCGGCGGGAGGCGGAGTCGCGCGCGACACATGGCCCCGGCCCCGCGCGGTTTAGGGCCGCCGGGAGGGGGAGGGGAGTGGCTGCTCGGGGACTCGCAGTGGAGACTCCGGACGGCCCGGAGCGCGGCTTCTGCGGCCCAGCCCCCGCCCCTGCGCTGTGGCCCGAACACTCACCCGAGGGGCTGGCACGATGGCGGCAGCGGCGGCGGCAACCCAGCGCGGTCTGCGACCGACTGTCCCTTCCCCCTTGCCTTCCCTCGCTCACCCCGCTGCACCCTGGGAAACACAGTCCCACCGCGCTCTTTTCTGGTATAGGTGCGCCAGGACAAAACTACAGTTCCCGGCATGCTATGCGCCGAGGCCCAAAGACTGCCCGCAGCGCGGGAGGTGAGGCTAAGCTAAAGAAAGAGGCTGCCGGGGCGAGCCCCTGAGAATTGTGGTCTAGCGGAAGTCTCTGGAACACCGGAGGTTGGCGCCTATCTCGGATCAGGGCTCAGTTGTCCTCGGTCCCAGCCGGCCCAGCCCCGCCCAGTCTGCGCAGCCCCAGGAAGTTGGCTCCGCCTCCATGAGAGCCCCGCCTGGCCCTAAGCTGGCCCAGCTGCCCCTCCCTGGGCCTCAGGGCTGTTTCCGCTCGCGAAACCCCCTCCCCTTTGGGCCTTAGGCCGCCCCTCCGCTGTGCGGCCTCTGTAGGTTGCAGTGGAACTCATAGCTTTTGCCGTCCCAGTAGTCGCGGGCCTTACCCTGGAGCCAGTCCGACCTAGTGCTAGTTTGGGGCAGACGAGGCTCCGGGCCGGACGCACAAATACCCCTGTAGTGGAGGCCGACTGGAAGGAAGATACAGCTGCTGCTTGCAGCCGTCCCTACTCTCACACTTGGTCTTCAAAACATTCCCCTAAGTTTTTCTGCAGCAGGTGGGGCAGCTAAGTTTAATTTTTATTAATGAGGAAAGATAACCGATTGACGTAAAGCTCCCCAGTGACTTAAGTAACCAAATCATAAATAATACCCCTCCCACCCGTTGCCCTTTCCGTTCAAGGAAGCCCATTTGATGGTTTCTTTGGCAACGCAAACGGGTGTGTGGAGTGAGGCCTGTCCCTAGGCTTAGGCTAACCCATGGGACCGCAGATAAGGAAAATTACAAGGCTTCTACAGGCAGTTCCACGCCTTCCCACCTGACCACAGAGTCTCTCAGTACAGTATTTTTTTGTTCTTCCAGAAGGGTTCTATACCTTCTCACCACCCATGGCTGGTAAGACCAAACCCGAGTTCTATTTAAAAATCCCAGGTCTGTACCAGTTTTTCCTGACGAGATGCTTCTCTTATCACCCAGCCAGGAAGAAATGCATTACCCTGCTTGTAGTGCACCTTCCTTGTTCTGTGAGCTGTTCTCTTCCCCTAAAAAACAAACACTGGACATGTAACATTCAGACATTAGGGAGGGTCCTGGCCAGAGCCTTACCCTCATCACCCTGTCTAGGAGTGCTGCTGAGGTTTTAAGAAATCCTAAGCAGAAATAGCAAAGTCCCTTAAAAAAAATGAGGTAAAGGAGACACAAGCCCTCACTCCTAACTGGTCCAGTAGCTACCAAGGGCTTCCCAGCTGGCCTGGAAACACTACAGTGCTCCACCACCCCGGACCAGGCAGTCAACCTCAGACAGATCTAACTCCTCCTCCTGCAACCATCACCCCACTCCACCCCCCCACCCCCCCCCCCGCACAATCTATCCCTACCCCCCACTTCCATTAGAGACTTGTTTCCCCACTTGGTACCAAGGGGCCAGGAGGAGGACAGAGGCTAGAGGAGTGTTGTAAGCTGAGGCTTGCAGCCACAGAGCAGGTCTCCAAGTAGCTGGCTTTGTCCCTAAGTACCACAGAGAAAAGTCTTGTTTTATAGAGCCCAAAAAGTGTGCTTTTATTCCCCAACACCCTTAGTAAGCAGACTTCTCTCCCCATTGGCTTTGAACTGAATTATTTGGAGCTGTACATAAAAATTAGTGTGCCCACCAATATCGTATCTAAAGAAAGCAGCAGCCAAGACTAAGGGCACAAATCCCAAATGCTGCTCCTCATGTCCTCTATGGATCCATTCTTTCACCCTGAAGGCGTACTAAGGCCAAAAGGTATCTGTATTAACAGCCCTTGTACCTCTAGTAGCCCTGGCTGGCTCCACCTGTGGTTTTCATTGAATTATTAAGAAAATGCATGCCCATGAGTGACACGGTGCTAGGCCTAAAGATGTAATGGTGAGCAAAATTCAACCCAGGTTAAGAATTCAAGAGGAAATTCAAAACCTTTATAAAGGTGAGTTGTCATAATTCACCTTAGTTTCTTCCTCATTGCTTAAAGGACAGGGAGATAAGCTACGGACAAACTAGGACCATCTAATACAGTTTCTGGGCTTGTCAGGATAAGCTTGGCCAGGAACTCTGCAAAGGCCTTCTGAGGGCCAGGGTCTATGTGCTTAGGGCCCCTTTATGAAGAAGCCTGCTCATTGAAGCATCTCTGCTCTCAGCGTCAGCCTGGTCCTTCAAACTTAAGGCTGAGGCCTATTCTCCTACAGTTCAGAGACACATAAACCCAAAATAAAACCTCAAACCCAAATAAAAACCTTATTTTCTGTTTAATTCGTTTTGCCAAACAAACACAGTGAAAACTTTAGTCTAATTGTACAGAAAATAGAATTTGTAACCAGTAGCAAACAAAACAGGATAAACTTAAGTCCCTGGCAAGCTGGATCTCCTGGATCTGGCAAGCAAGTCACCCAGATCCCATCACAGACCACCTCCTGGGGAGGAAGGGCCTAGACGGAAGAGAGGCACACGTCTGCCAGTCCCCATTAGAATCACAGGCCACACCTGGGAAGGAAAAGCATGAAAAGGAGAACTGATGTTATTTGGATCTCTTATCACTACACACAAAAAAGTTGTCTCTGCTGGCCAACCTCAAGGTACTGACTTCCCAAGGCCATAGTCCCTGGGCATTCCACCTGCATCCCTAGGGGTTAAGTTTCAAGTTCAGTGGTTCTGAAACCTCTGCTTAACCAGAATCTGCAATGTAAACTGGGGGGAAGACCAAGTCACAATTGCTGGTGTCACCAGTGCAGACTCTGAGGCTCCAGACCCCTGCCGATTCAGGAGAAAACAAGGGTGCCAGGTCACCAGCAAGAGTCCAGCCCGTTCTAAGCTTCATTACTGTCAGCCAGTACCCCAAGAGTATGGGCGAGTTCAACAACAGCCTGAGTTCCCCCTGGGCTGGCGAAAGTCCAGGAGTCCTGCAGGCCACAGGGGGACCGTTCACATTCCATGCTTCTTGCGGATGACAGCCATGGCCAGCAGCCGATCCTTCTCACGGAGCTCTTCTCGCAGCTTGGCCTCGGTGAGACGCAGGTGGCGAATGCTGCCCTTCATCTCCTTCATCTTCACCTCCATCAGCGCCAGGATGTCCCGTTGCTCGTTCAGCTTGCGCAGGAGTTCCTCTTCCGTGGTGCCTGACGACAACGAGTACGAGTGATCGGAGCCGGTATCAGGGAAGCCCTCTTCCCCTACTACCACCAACTGCGGACCCATAGGGCATTCGGCGGCCTCCAGCCCTGCGGTAGCAGCCTCCAACTCCGACGCGGCAGCTGCGGCTGCGGCGCCCTCTGCAGCAGCGAACTCCACTTGCACCGTCAGGTCGATGGGCTTCACATCTTCTCCGGTGGGAGTGATGGGTGCCGGGGGTACGGATCCCGGAGCCTGGCTACTGTCTACAGCGGCCTGAAGAGTGAGGAGCACGGCGGCCGAGGCAGACACCAGGTTCGGCTGCAGCTGGGCAGGCTGGGCAGTGGAGGCCGACGGCGACGGCTGCTGTTGTGGTGGCTGCTGCTGCTGCTGTTGTTGCTGCTGCTGCTGCTGTTGCCTGCGGCGGGCGGCCGCGGCCCCAGCTGGTCTGCGAGCTACTTTGCGCTCATTGACGCCTCGCAGAGGGAAGATGGTGGGGACGCGCACCGTGTAGGTCTTGCGACCGCCCTGGAAGTGGACGCTGCAGAGACGGTGGCCCGTGGTGGGCTGGAAGGTGGAGAAGCACCCACTGACGCCGGCTCGGGACACGTTCTTGAGCCACAGGCGCCGCAGCTCAGCGTCCTTGGGGAACGTGTAGAAGTGTAGCGCCTTGTCCCGGTGCGAGTTGTTGTAGCAGCCCGGCACGCAGCACGTAAAGCCAGGCATGGCTGCGCCGCGCGGCCTGACCTGGCCCACCGGCCTCCCGCGCCCTTCGACGGCCCGGCGGGTCCGTCGCCGCCCGCCCCTCGACGGGCGGCGCCGTGCGAGGCCTCGGGTGGCCTCCCACTACTGCTGCCCGGTGCGGCCGGCCCGGACCGGCGCCCCGCGCCCAGAATACGATTCCTGCTGGCCCGCGCCGCGACGCTTGCCCGGCTGCCTGCCTGCGCTCCGGAGTCGGCCCCGGGGACGCCGAGAAGGACCGCCTGGGAAGGAGGACTACGCCCCCCACAATGCAGCGCGCCAGAAGAAGCTCACTTCCGGAGCGGGGGCGGGCTTATTCCGGCCGCTTTGCAGGGCATCAAAACTGTCCTCGCAGAGCAGGTTTTTCACAGAACGCAGCTCGTCACCGGCAGACGAGAGACGTGTATTCGCTTGGGACACTGTTGCTTTGACTGACCCTTACAAAGACTCAGAATCCTGATTTAGGGGGGAGGGGACGAGACTTATGTATGCGCAAGCGCCGTAGGCACCTGCCCATTAAAACTACAAGTCCCGTGATGCTTCGCACTGAGCTCGGCGGCCACTGCCTGGAGCGCCGCCTAGTGGAGAGGTCTGGTTCCTGCGGACCGTGATCGGGAGATGTTGCGCAGCCAGCTAGGGGCGGACCCCCAATCCCGCGTGGCCCCGGGCCAGCGGCATTCCTGAGGGCGGGACTCAGACCTCAGCTCCCCCTAAGATCCTCAGGAACCATTTTTCAAGGTTGGGACTCTGCCTACTCAACCGTTGCCTGCATAGACTGACTGACTACTTAAAGTAACCGAATAGGCGCTTACGGTGTGCTGGGCACCGTGCAGCAGCCAGACCTACCAGGCCCCTCTTTTCTGGAGCCAGACTATCTAGAAGTGTTATGACCCGTCTTTCAGACAATAAAGATGAATGCACCCGAAGAGATGTCTAATCACAGAAATAAGCTCTTTAAAAGAATAAGCAGAACAGAGGAGAAGATGGGGACGGAGGCCAAGTTTATATTGGGTCGTATAGGACTTGGAAGAAACGACGAAGAAAAGCTTGGGTAATGAGATATAAATTAATCTGTTCTGGGCCCGGGAACCAGCCTGTAAGGTCCTGAGGCTGAAAAGAGCTCGGCTCCGCCCTTAAAACCTGGAAGGGGGAGGCCAGGGTAGCAGAAAACAAATCAAACTGAGCCAAGTTAAAGGATTTGTGATTTTATTCTGCAAGCGACTGGGAGCTATTGAAGGGGTTTTATCAGCAGCATAGACCGGATTTGTACGGTAACAAGACACCATCCCCCTCCCTGGACTCTTACAAGGATAATATTTTAAAGGGCCAGCGTGGTTGTGGGAAATCAGAGAGGAAGCCATATATTTGTCCAGGGAGATTACTGCCAGCTAGCCAGTCACTGGCTTCTTGGCTTTCTTCAACCTTTCTCTTGATTGACCCTTCCCATTTTTCTTTCTCCTGATAACATGCCACAGCTGTGAAATTGAAGCCTAGTACATATTATTTCTAATGATTGGGTATAAAAACACAATAGACTGAGCCATTGAAAAACTTGCAAAAGGAAAAAATAACACTCCAGCTGTTACCTTTTTTTCTTTCAGTTTGTTGTCCTTTATTATAAAAGGGACCCATGCTTCAAACCTTTTAGAAAATACAGAACTATGGAAGAAAACGATTTTTCTAGCCCCAGCACCAGCACCAATCACCATTACATCTATTTCAAACTAATGTGGTTATCATGAAGATGTGGATATTGTGAATATCCTTGGTTATTGTCAAGATTTCCCTGAGCCCTAACTGGAGAAATGTCCCATTGCTCCTGGTCTACACGGGTGAGAAGCCTGCACACCAGACTGTGGAACCCACCATGAGAGAAGGGCTTTTTTTATGTGGATGTATCATTTACACAAAGGTACAAATAGGAAGGCATGCTTTGTTAACGGCTATAATGATCTTTTATACATGTTTAAATCTTTATAAACATGTACAAAAGATCATTATAGCTGTTATTACACATTTTCACTGTCAGACAATGACCAGTATGGTTGGACAACTAACTTTCTGAAAACTCCTTGCTCAAGAAGTGTTGATGACAGGTCAGATTTATGTAATTCCTGTATGCACAGAACACTAAAGAATATGCTTAAATTCTTCCTTCCAGTACATAAAATCATCTCTAATCTATAGTTAATCCAACATGTCTCCCTGCTTCCAATCTCTTCTCTCCTACAATGTGTTCTTCACACAATGTGATTACATCATACCCCTCCAGTGGCCTCCCATTGCATTTAGAATAGTGTCCAAACTTTGCTGGAGCTTGCAAGACCCCACATAATCTGGCCCTTGCCCGTCTTTCTCACTCCTCCCTCCCTCACTTCATCACAGTATTTGTTTAAACAAGTTGTACAAATAAATTTTAATAATGTGAACACACAAAATAATACTGTGCAAAGACTTAAACTCACATCCCAAATTGTTTTCAAAAGATATTTGTGTCCTCTCCATATTATCAGTTTGAGGCTCTACTAACAAATAAAGGAATAAAAACTGCATTTAGGTGTTTGACAGTGACCATGGTATTTTCAATCACCTCATATGAATGTGAGAGCTGGACAATGAATAAGGAGGACTGAAGAAGAGTTGATGCTTTTGAGTTGTGGTGCTGGTGAAAAATGCTGAAGGTACCATGGACTGCTCAAAGAACTAACAAATCTGTCCTGGAAGAAGTGCAGCCGGAATGCTTCTTGGAAGCGAGAATGGCCAGACTTCATCTCACCTACTTTGGTCATGTTGTCAGAAGGGACCATTCCCTGGAGAAAGATATCATGCTTGGTAAAGTGGAGGCTCAACGAAAAAGGGGAAGGCCCTCAATGAGATGGATTGACACAGTGGCTACAACGATGGGCTCAGGTCCAGCAAGGATCGTGGGGTTGGCACAGGACTGGGCAGTGTTTACTTCTGCTGTGCATAGGGTTGCTATGAGTTGGAGACGACTCAATGGCACCTAACAACAACAACAATGTGCCTGCAAAAGCCTAGCAAATTAAGTCAGGTAGCACAGGGGTCAAAGCTAAATGACAAGGGATGTTGATATGCTTTCCTCTGCCGTTCTCTTATTTTGAGAAGCAGTCATCTAATTTCTCTTTGCTTTATTTTCAAACACAAGCACAAATATGCCCGTACCTGGCTTCAGTATCTTGATACTTTATACCTGATCTAGGAACAGAGTCTGGCAAAAAGGAGAACTCCATGTTCTCAGAAGCCAACTTCTAGTTCAGTTGACACAAAAACTTCTTAAGTTGTGGGCATCTGTCAACTGGTGAAAAACATGGAAATGGAGGCTCCAGCATTAACACAACTTTTGAGAGCGGAAATTCATTTCAAAACTGCATGTTTGCACATCCTATCTCTGCTGGACCACAATCCTGGAGCCTGCAGCCCAGTACTTTTGATGATATAGAGCTTACAGGCAGTGACTGCCATTTATTGAAAAAGCTCTGGTGGCACAGTGGTTAAGGCAATCGGTTGCTAACCAAAAGGTTGGTGGTTTGAACTCACAAGGTGCTCCATGGGAGAAAGATGAAGCATTCAGCTTCTCTAAAGATTTACAGCCTTGGAAACTCTATAGGGCAGTTCTAGTCTGTTCTATAGTGTCTTGAGTTGGAATTGACTCAATGGCAGTGGGTTTGATTTGGTTTGGCTTGGATATTCACTGATGGTCTGGCTTACTGTATCAGACCCTGAATTAAACATTAACTCACTGAATCATTAAAAAGCCACCAGTTGACCCTGAGACCAAAAGAACTAGATGGTGCCTGGCTACGACTGCTAACCACTCAGAAAGGGACCAAAATTGGAGATCTTGGATAGAGTGGGAGAAAAACATGGAACAAAACTCAAAATCGTAAAAAAAAAAAAAAAAAAAGACCATGGTTACTGGTCTGACAGAAACTGGTGAAACTGCCAAGACTACGGCTTGTAGTCACCTTTCGGGTCTGGACTTGAACTCACTTATGTGGCTTAACCTTCAGCCAAACAATAGATAGGCCTACCAGGTGAATGCTTAACCAGAGAGGTGCATTTCTTAGAACAATCAACCAAGGGAGGTCAGAAGGTTAGCATTTGCACAGGGAAATAGCTCAGAGGGCAGGAATGCATAGGAATGAGGACACTGGGGAAAGGTAACCACAGGAAGGAAATGAGAAGAGAGCTATTACATTCTGGGGACTGCAATTAATGTTACAAAACAAAATGTGTATGAACTGTTGAACAGAAAACAAATCTGCTCTATAAACTTTCACACACTCTCCCCCCAAAAAACCCTACTGCCATCCAGTCGATTTGGACTGGTAGAGATCCCATTGGGTTCCTGAAACTGTAAATCCCTACATAAGTAGATCGCCCCATCTTCCTTCTGTGGAGTGGCTGGTGGGTTTGAATTGCCAGCCTTCTGGTTAGCAGTCAAATGCCTTAGGCACTACACCACCAAAGCTCCTTAAACTTTCACCCACATCACCATAAAAAGTAAAAAAAAAGCCACTGGTTGTCTTCCACGGGATTCCGACTCATGGCAACTTCATGTGTGATAGAATATTAGGTGGATATCATCTTCATTTTAAAGATGAGGAAATCAAGACTCCAACTGGTTGCATAATCTGCGGAGGCTCACACCCAAAATCAGATTTCCCAAGCACCACAGAGATTGCAGCCTGCGGCCTGGCTGAAGTACGAGAACTACAATTCCCATGGGGCTGTGTGGCAGTATCGCGAGATTTGGCTTAAAGGTGGCAGGCGGGAACGCGAGGATCTCGGCGACCCCGGCGCGAATGCTAGGAACAGGGCGGCCAGGGAGAGAGTGGAGGTTCACGGCTGACAGCTAGCTGACCGCTGAGGCGATGGCCGACAGCAAGAGCCCCGAGAGCGAGCCTACGATGCGCACGCTCCTACGGCACGTGCTGGACTCGGCGGTACCGCGCACCCCGCGCCGGCCCCGGAGTGCCCGGGTTAGGTAGGTAGAGCGGCTGCCCAGAGTCTGAGAGTGAGGTGGAGTTGGGATGGGGTGGCGTCCGGGTGGGGCTTCCGCTAACCCTCTTTGGAGAAGGAACCTGAACCTCAGAGAAGGGCTCTGAGAACGGGGACTGGCTTTACTCCCCGAGTCTCGCTTGGGTCAGCTGTTCGTGCCTCCACCCCCAAGGCTCCGGGCAACCCGGTTTGGACAACAGAACCTAACTGTGCCGGCCTCGTAGGGGGCCAGTCTCTGAAGGCGACCCATGGGCGCTCAGATCTCACCTGCCCTGTTCTCTAACCCAAACTAAAAAGTCCAATCCACTGCCATTGGCGACCCGGTGGGACAGAGTAGAACTTCCCCATAGGGTTTCCAAGGCTGTAAATCTTCCCATCTTTCTCCCGCGGAGAGGCTGGACCGACAACTTTTTGGTTAGCAGCCGAATGCTTTAACCACTGCATCACCAGACCTCCTTCTTTCCTAGCCCACTTTTCCACAAATCAGCCGAAGGCTATGTCCAGGTACCTGGCCTGAGCTTCTGGCACCCAGGTGGTCCCCAACTTTGCTGGCACATTCAGACCTACTGTTTCCGTAGTTTCAAGGTGGAAGGTGGAAGAGGAGGTGCAGGGCCCAGCTGGGCTGAAGCTTGGAGATGAGAACTGGAATAATACTTTGTTGGGAAAAAGGGGATTGGCTCTGGCTTGGTGAGAGTGTGCTTGTGGGTGGGTGAGGGCTATAGTGAGCTCAGGGTGCAGTGGGTACGGACCTGCCAGATTGGGTGAGTTCACTTTCTTAACAGGCAATGGGAAGCCATTCATTATAGATTTTAGATCTAGGGTGGTGAGGTGGGAGCTGTGCCCTGGGAACAGTGACTCTGGAACCTGAGTGGGACTGGACTGGAGAGACCAAGACTGAAGTGATCCATGTGGAGGTTGTAGTCAGACCCCGAAAAGTACTTAAAAGGTTTAAAAATAATTCAATTCCTTCTTGGGTTGTTACTTTAATGTCTAGAATGGGTACTATACCAAGTATGCCTCTTGTCTACGTGGCTAATGTCTTTGTGAGCCTACCTTAAGGGTATTTCAAAGTCACGTGAACCCTTCTTTAGCCCCTCTCTCTGGCTGTGTTTCTCATATTCCGTGTCTTCCCATAACCCTGTGGCTCCCTTTCATCCACACCCCTGTTGACATAGAGCTGGGAACGGGATATGGGATAGGCAAATGGTAAAGTGCTGATGATTAACCAGAGGGTGGTGGGTCGAACCACCCAGTGGTGCCTGGGAGGAAATGCCTAGCAATCACCTGAAATGTCACAGCCTTGAAAACCCTATGTAGCACAGGTTTACTCTGCAGTACACGATGTTGGCATGAGTCGGAATCTGCTCCACAGCAACTGATTTTGCTTCTGGCCTTGAGGGAAAAGGGCTTCAGGCCAAGAGGCCTGATGAAGGTGTTTCTGCATCCTCTACTCCCCGTCCCTACACAGTTCTCAGGGCCACTGGTCCTTAAGAAGTACCCAGAGACCCCTGCTTGAAACACCTTCCTCTAGGAATCAGAGCAGCCAAACAAAGGCGACTGCCAGGAGGCATTCTCGTGGAGCCAGGGTAAGTGCCCAGTTCACTGACCACAATGCCCTGTTTGCCTTTAGTGTGCCCTGAAGCCCACCTTAAGGGGATCGCAAGATGGAAGAACAAACTGGTTGCTTAGTGCTTTCCTCTATAGGCTACTGGCAGACGGTCCCATGTTAAAGCCACTGGCCGCCTGGAGGAGCAGACACCCCGGACCCTGCTGCGGAACATCCTCCTGACTGGTGAGTGTGTGATGGCCTGCGGGTCAGAGTTAGGGCCAGCTGCGTGCTGTGTCTCCGTCAGGGCAGCCTGCTCTACCAGCCCCATCCTTTGCTTGCTGTTTCTTCAGCCCCAGAATCCTCCATCGTCGTGCCCAATTCAGTGACGATGCCAGTGCCAGCACCAGAAGTGGTCCGGCTCTCCAGACGGGAAAGCAGTCAGGGCAGGTGCACAGTGAACTCCCCCATTTGGCTGCGCTGTTGGGAAGTTCTGGTCAGGGGGTCTCCTGGGGGTCGCAAAAGCCAGAATCGGGCTTCCTAGCCTGTCTGAGATCAGCTCCATCCTCACAGCCTGGAGCTGCGACTTCCTGAACTCGAGCCCCCCAAAACCCCGGCTCCAGTTCTGCTGGCACCTGGCAGGAAGAAGCCGAGGCTGAGACTGTCACTGTTTCAGCAGGAAGTGGACCAGGGGCTGCCTCTCTCCCCAGGTGAGGCCCTGAACACTGCCTATTGCTACCCTTTCCCTCCAGCCCCTGGAGAGGCCGAGGGGCCTGGGTAACTTACCAGGTGTCTTCTTTGTCAGCCCCTTGCCGAGCACTGACAGAGCCTCATGGGACTGCTGATGCCTCCTCGCTCACCAGGTCCTGTTGCCTTGTTCTGGGGGTTGGTGGAGAGGCTTGGGGAGGGAAGGCTGACTTTGGTGAATCTGGCCATATTCCTTCCTCCCTGCCAGTTTTAGCCGTCTGCATGGTGGCTGGTCCAAGTGATGAGAACCCCAGGGCAGATGGGCAATCCTTTGGGGAAACTGGGCCTCAGGTACCTGACTCTCCTTTGTGCCTCCCTCCCTTCCAGCAGCTCCCTCAACCTGACCTTTGGCACCTCTCTCCGGTCACAGTCCGTGCAGAGGCCAGGTTTGGCCCGCAGACCTCTCACCCGCCGAGCTGTAGATGTGGGTGCCTTCTTGCAGGATCTGGGAGATACTTCTGAGGCCATGGTTTCCCCAGGTGATGTTGAGGTTTACCCCTCCCAGACCTGTGGGGAAAGCTCTCCCCACCAGGCAGAGAGGAAGTGTGCTGAATGCAGGGTCTTCTTGCCTCGTACGGGTCAAGGACACTGCAGAGTCAGGCCTGTGAGGAGTTTCTGCTTTCTTCCCATGGGTGTGTCTTACGTTGTTGGAAACCAGTCTTAGTCCCTTAGTACATCCCAGGACCCCCATGTGCCTGAGGAGCTACTGAGCGGAGGGCAGGAAAGGAGTTTGGAGTGGTGGGTGGGATTTATTGAGAGGTTGAAAGGGGCCAGGTTGCAAGATCAGCTGGCCAGTGAGAGCTGACCTCAGAGACTGATTCTAGAAGACAGTGTTCACCAGGGTAAAAGGAGGGTTCTGGGCAGAGTGAGAAGTGGAGGGTGGAGGAGGCATGGGTGAGCAGTTTGTGGGGTCCACACTGTGGAGGCCAGGGGGTGCCAGGCTAAGGTGCAGGGACTGCCACCAGTAAGCAAGGGGGTAGAGGAAGGCAAATAAGACTCAAAATGGACCAGGCTCATGTGCTGGGTAGTCTTTTCCCTCTGAAGTTTGCTTAGCGGCAGACTCCTGGGACCAGCTGCCTAGGCCTGGTGACTCTGGGTAGCAGCAAGTGGGCCTGGAATACACTGAGTGCCAGCTGGTCCTTGATTCCCAGGTGACAGCTACAGAACCCCGGTTGCTCTCCTGGCAAAGGATGCTGTGTTGGAGGACACCCAGCCCTTCTCCCCGCCCTTGGTTGGCTGCTCCCCCAGGGGGCGCCGCTCCTTGCCCTGTCGCTCTGACACTGGGGCTGCAGATGCTGGAAGGGCTGTTGGTCGCAGGACATGGAGTGGGCCTGCGCTACAGAACAGTGAGTATATGGGTCAGGTAGCTTAGAACCAATCTCAGCCTGGGCAAGAGTTGGCATTGGTGGTTTTCCTCCTGAAGCCCATTTGTGTGCCCCAGAGCCTCCTGGCTGTGGGTCCGTCTTCCGTCCAGGAGCAGAGTCAGTGTTAGGTCGGGAGACTCCCCACCAGTGCTCTGGGGCTGCTGCTGCCCTCCCTCTCCCAGGTGGGCTGGGCGGGGTTTGCTGTTCCGTCTTTCCCCTTCTCAGAGGGAAGCCTTGGTCTGCTGCTTCTCCAGCCCGTTTTCTCTCCCCTTCATTCAGGTCCCAGGGAACCAACCCAGCTTCCAGCAGGAAGGTCAGAGGAGGTGAACACCCTTGCTGTGGGCTTTCCAAATCCCAGCAGTGGTGACTCTGGAGAAGATGGCGTAGAGCCCTTAGAAGGTGAAGGTGAAGCAGGGGAAAACACGGAAGAAGGAGCGGTGAATGTGGGGGCAGTGGAGGCGGCGGCAGGAATGCAAGGATCTGCTAGGACGGCAGAGTCTGAGGGGTGCCCAGAGGTGACAGAAGCAGATGGGGCTGTTGAGGCCGAGGAGCCAGAAGGGTCTTCAGGGGACAAGGACACTTCCAGCAGGACGGGTAAGGGGCCCAGTGCAGGGAGCAAGAAGGTAAGTGCTAACAGCTGTGTTCAGGCCCTGCCCTTGGAGGAGGAGCTAGCACTCTGGGCAGTGGCGGGTTGGTATTGGGCCAAGGGAGACTCTGAGGGGCCTCTTGCTTGGCTAGCTGGAGCCCGGTGAGGCCCTTGAGGAACGGGACAAGAAGGCGGTGGAGAGGTTGAGGCCCCAGTGATCTTCCCTTCCTCTGCAGCAAGTCCACAGGTGGCCTCTGGTGCCCTTGGGGCTCTCCAGGCCCAGCGACGTCATCAGTTTCTTGAGCCAGTCGCACCACCCGCCGCTGCAGGGTAAGATCCCAGGGCCCTGTCCTTCTTGGGAAGAGGGCAGGCACTGAGGCTGCCTTTGGGCACTCTGCACCACAGGGCATCCCCTTTCCCACGGGTGAGCACCGTTACCCACCCAGCCGAGCAGCCTGAGCCGGACTGAGAAGGGCTCACCCAGGGGACATCTGTCATCCTGGGACCTGCCTTTAGGGACCTAGAGGAGCTGGGGAAGGGGAGGAAGGCTTCCTGGAGGAGGATTAGTAGAATTAGGACAGGCAATAGGGAGGGAATGTCTGAAGGTCAAGGGCTCAAGCAAGGACTGGTTTGTGTGATAAGGCTAGAACATTATGTATAAGTTGTGGAGAAGCAAAGACCCCAGGAAAGGGCCCAGTCTCTGAGCGCCCATCTCCACCATCCCCAACCAGTGGTTGGAGCTGCTGGTCTAGGCCAGCCACGGAGCATGGTCTCAGCAGCAACCAGCAATACTTGTCCTTGAGTAGAGGTTTCTTTAGACAGCAGTTGAGCCACCTCTGACCACTCCTGCCCCCAGCTTGTGTGCAGAGCCGCTGTCGGCCAGGCTTCCTCCCAGGCCCCGAACTGCTGGTCCCAGGCCCCGTCAAGATCCCTACAAGGCCGGACTGAGCCACTATGCGAAACTCTTTAGCTTCTATGCTAAAATGCCTGTGGAGAAAAAAGCTCTTGAGATGGTGGAGAAGTGGTGAGTCCTAGACACTCAGGGTGGGGGAGAACCTCTCAGCTCCCTAACAGCCCATTCAGTCTGCTCCACCCCCACCTTCTTGGCAGCTTGGACAGGTATTTCCAGCACCTGTGCAATGACCTGGATGTATTTGCTGCTCATGCCGGCCGCAAAACGGTGAGGCCAGAAGACCTGGAGTTGCTGATGCGGCGGTGAGCCGGTGGGGTAGAGGGTGCCGGGCTGGTGGGGCTGGCCCCTCCGGACATGGTGCTGACTCTGTCTGTCCCACCCTCATTCACTGCAGGCAGGGCCTGGTCACGGACCAGGTATCACTGCATTTGCTTGTCGAGCGGTACCTGCCCCTGGAGTACCGGCAGCTGCTCATACCTTGTGCATTCAGCGGCAACTCTGTGTTCCCTGCCCAGTAGTGGCTGGGCTCCAGCACCTGCCCTGCTCCCTCCTGGGCTTTCTGGACCCCACATACACCTCCAGGTCGCCTTCCTCCCCACCCCCGCTCCAGCCTCAATAAAGTATTACAAACAGAATAAGCTGTGTTTTGATACTGGCCCCCCCTTCCCTGCCCCCAATGGCCAGCATAGTCAGAAGAATAGCACAGGCTCAAACACTTTTATGCTAGAAGTCAGGGGCTAGCCACACCAGAGCACAGAGGCTGCCCAGAACAGCCCTAGCTTGTAGGTTCTGGCTCTCCCCGAGGCCCCATACGCCTGGTATCAGCCACCAGAAGCCGTTCCATCACGGTCTGAAGCTTTGTCTTAATGCCCTCTTCTTTTTCCTCCTCGCCCTCCTCTGGCAGGTCTGTCACAGGGACCTGGAAGGCTTGGCTCACGTAGGTGTTCAGGGTCTGAGTGTCCAGACTGGGGTCAATGTTCATCAGTGCTTCCCGCAGCTTACCCAGGGCTATCTCATGATAGCTGCCCAATGAGGAGAGAGAGAGACAGGCCTTGACCCCTCCTCTGTACCACCAGACCCCAGGGTGCCCTTTCTGCTGGGCTTGGGCGGTTTGGAGAGCCCCGCAGCGTGCTCCGTGCATGGGGAGACCCAGGGGCTTGAGATGCCACCCTGTGACCTAGCCTGCAGGACCCACCTATGGCTGAGTGGGCCTGAGAACCCAAGTCACTCACAGTTCCTGGCCCAGCTCCTGCTTTAGCTCCTGCAGATATGCCTCCTTCTCATCCATATACTGTTCCCAAAGCTTCTGAACAAAGGGTTCACTCTGGCCCTCATCGCTCTAGGGGGGGCCACAGGGCACGGTGAGGGTATACTGACCGGGGTCCAGCTGAGGCTACAGGCAGAGGCCATGCAAATGCCTGGATGCCCACTCACCTCCACAAACAGTGAGCGGTAGTTGAACAGGTCTATGTTACTGCCATTGGGATTCCAGCCCCCTGCCTCCATCAGCTCCTGAATTTGTTCTTCCTTCTTGAGGGGGAAGGTACTCTTGAGGATGGTGCTGTGAAGATAAGTGCGGCCCACAGGGGCCTGCCTGGTTGAGGCCTGCCTGCCCGCCTCCGTAGCCCCTCCACTGCCAGCCCCACCAGTACTTAAAACAGCAAGTGCTGAGGCTGAGGCCCTTCCCACCAGACTCCTCTCCCCTGCACACCCGGAAGCCTGGGCAGAGGAGGTGTTGGGCAAGAGTTTGGGCTGGCCTGGCCCCACCTGAAGTGCTCCATGGGCAGGAATCCCTCATTCTGACTGTCAACAGCTGTCATCTCCTTCAGCAGCTGTGCAATTGTCTCCTTGTGGTTGATATACACACTCTCCTCCATCTACAGAGAGGGAAGCCTTCACTGACTTGCTGCTTCTTGGAGTGGTGGGTGCAGAGGAGGGCTATGCTGGGGATGAAGGCTCCTCTCTGTCTCCCTGAGAGGAGCAGGTGGGGGCCAGGCCCATGCTCACCTTTCCCATCAAGACTGCATAAAACTGACTCATGACCTCATTGGAGCGGAAGAGCTTGATGTTTTCAAAAATGGTGTAGGCCCAGGCCATGGCATCACCGGGCCCAAAGCGACGCTCCAGGAAATTGAAGAAGAAATCTGAGAACTTCTCCTTCTGCATGGTGAGGGGAAGACTGTTCAGTCAGCCTGTCCCAGGGTTGTTTTGCCCTCTTCTCTGCTCCCTAGCACCTTGAGGGAACCCACTGAAGACTCTGGGGGCCAAGCTGGGCCAAGGGGCCTGATGAGATCTGACCTGCTCCTCCGCGAGACGTTCCTTCCAGGCATCTTTAAGGAGGTTTACCACCTCCTTCTTCGTTGGCTTCTTGTTCTCCACAGTGCCATCGAACCGAAGAAAAGTGGGGATGGCTTCCCCATAGCCCTGGAAGGGAGAGTGTCAGCTTGTCTCTGAGCCCATCTGTGCCGCACCCCCGCCCCCCAGCAGGCAGGGCCCCATGAGGTTCCACCAGAAACCTGAGCCTCAGCAGCAGGGCCCAGCTGACTCTGACCTCAAGCTTTCCCAGTCCAGGGACTCTCCTACCAGACCAGGGAAGGAGTCTTTCTCCCGGAGCAGGCCCTCGCCAATCTCTTCCAGGAGGACGTCTACCAGCTGGTCACTGTTCTTGCCCTCGGCCAGTATATGCCACCGATCTGGGCCCCCAGCCACCACATCTGCAGGTGGGGAGAGGGAGCTGGAGTGCCGACGAGGCAATGGCACTGCTCCTGGGGCCCCGACTGCCATGGTTACCTTCGCACTTGGTCCAGTCAGGCCGTGGTGTTGAGGTGCGCTGGATCTCCTGCAGCTCGGCGAAGAACTGGTCGCGCTCCTTCAGCGTGCTCATGTGCAGCTGCAGCAGTATCTCGTGCTCCTTGCGTACCTCCTCATAGTCGGCCCGCAGGCTGTCCAGCTGTGGGTGAGGGGGTTGGTCCTCGCTCCCCACCTGCCGACCCTGCCAGGCCCTGCCTGCCCTCCGGCACCTGCTCCTGCAAATCCCTGTTGGTCTTCTCCTGCATTTCAAAGTCCCTCCTGGGCACCACGTCTCCAAAGTTGGCTTTCATAGTGTTGAGCTCCATTTGCGTGCGTGTCAGGTCTTGCCGGGTCATCTTCAGAGCCAGTGTTAGCTTCACGGGGTCCTCCCCCCAGATCCCTGCCAAGGGGCCCACCAGCCCGTATCACCCTGGCTCTGGGACCTCTGGCCCAAGGTAGGGCTAGAGTGCCCCCCGGAGTGTGCCCCAGGTCTTCCTGCTCTCCCTGCCTGGGGTCCCTAGGGTCTTGACTACAGTGCTACAAGACCTGGGGCTTCAGGCTTAAGTAGAGTAGTCCAGGACACAGGGTACCATACCGTTCCCCACACGGGAAGTCTAGGCTACTTAATATTCTCAGTCTGGCTCAGAAGATATATAGTCCAGCTGGAGGCAAGGACATCACCCAATGAGAATGGACATGGGATGGGCAGATCTTAGGAGAGCTGAATGCGTGGGTGTGAGTAGCCAGAGTCAGGCTCCTCTTCAATGCCTCGTCAGGGTGGAGTCCACCTCAGGCTTACCTGGAGACTGGGCTAGGGACATGTCTTCCCGCTGATAGCGTAGCTCATTCAGGTCTGAGAGGAGGATCTTCCGGGCGTCTCGCTCACTGAGATAGTGCAGGTACTCTTCAGCCAAGCTCTTCCTTAGTTTGGACACCTGTTGGAAAGGTGGCTGTGGCTGGACCCCAGCTAGTTACTGCAGGGGATGGAATGAATACTGGGTGGCTTCATCAGGACTTGGAACAGGAAAGATGGAGTAAAGAGATTGGCCATCCCTGAGAACCCAGCAAAGTGTCAACCCTCTAGAAAGCCTAGCACCCATGGAGCAGGGCTCTGCAGGCACTTGGGGCCACATGGAGCCAGTTCCCAGCCAAGCAGGAGGGCAGAGTGAGGTGACAGCAGAAACCCTCAGGAGGGTGTGGCCTAGAATGTCACTCCAAGAAGAAGGGTAGAAGGGGTTAAAGGGTCACCTGGGTGGGTACCCGAGACCTCAAGGTCATCCCTGGGGTGGGCAGAAATTCAGGGAGTTGGGTACGGCATCTCACCTCACTCTGCAGTGAGATCTTCTCCTCATTCTTCTTGTCAATGACTTTGAGCAAATTCATCTTCTCCTTCTTGAGCATGGAGATCTCGTATTTCTCTTCTGCCCGCATGGCCAGTATCCTCTCATTGCAGTCCTCGTGCACAGTGACAAGCTTAGCCTTCAGGGGCTCCAGAGCCCGAATCTTCTCCCTCTGATGGGCTAAGCAGGGGCAGTAGGGGGTTCCCTTTGGGTCACAAAGACAAATAACTAGAAGACACAGATCCTATGATCACAGATGAGTGGCATGTCCTTTGCCAGCTCCACGAGTCTGTGTACACTTTGAGCAATGTCGTGGCCTTGGCTAAAGGCCTTGCTGCCCTTGGTTTTAAATGAGAAGCAGAGTCCAGATAGGCCTTTTCCCAGGTGGCCTGTAGTCCTGCAGCCTCACTATGCCCTGCACCTCCTGAGCCTGGCCAGAGGAGGGGCCTCTCCTCAGTTTCCAGAGGCCCTCACTTTCTCCTGGGCTTCACTCACAACAGGAAGGGGGGCTATTTTCTACAGATACGGCCCACCATGCTTTCCAAGGAGGAGAGGTGCCTGGTGCCCTGAGTACCTTCTCACAGAACAGTGTGAGCAAAAGGGCTGAACGGGGCTTGGGGACCTCAAGGCCCAGTCAGTAGATGCTGTAGCCCTGTTGCTGAGCCTCAGACGGTCAGAATAGGATCCTCTTTCCTTTGCAGGCTGAAGACCGCATCTGGTCTATCTGACTCAAGAGGGGAAATTGAAGCAGGGGAGCTGTTCTTACCCAGCATCATCTCATACGCATTCTTAATGGAAGACAGCAGTGGCTTGTACGTTTTAAAGTCCTCTATGAAGAACTCGAAGATCTCTCTATAGGGCTGCAAGGAAGGGGAACCTGTCATCTTCTGACCCAGAACTGCTAAACTTAGTGGGGACCTGTGTCTTTCTTGGCTTAGAGGTATTCCAGCAGGAGACTGCCAAGCGGCCCACATTCAGGCAAACACCCTGGGCTCCACTTGGGTCTTTCCCAGTGCCAGGGGCAGTGGGCAGCTCTGCCCTATCGACCGCCCTCTGGAGGCCTCTCCGGATGCTGGCTTGGAGGCCTGGCAAACCACCCAGGGCCAGGACCTCCCCTCTGTGCTCTAGTCCCTCTCTAGGCAGCCAGCCTCTTGTCTTCCAGCCTCTGTGCCTCAGTTGGCCCCTTGCCTACAACCCTCCCCATCTTAGAGGTCTGTAGGGGTAGAAGGAGACAGAAGGTCCTAATCAGGCATCTAACCTCCAAGTAGGGGCATGGTTTCCTGTCCCGCTTGGATCCACAGGAAGTGTTTAGAAGCAGCATTGCTCACTGGGATGAGCATAGGTTTGGGAGTAAGACCTGAGTTTGAATCCTTGCCCCCCCACATCATAGCTATATGGCTTCTTCAAACTTCCACTTCCTTGTTGGGGAGGCACCTTCTGCTTATAAAGCCCCAGCCCCAGGGCGTGGTACACCGTTGGGACTCAATAAATGCTTCAGTGAGTCAGAAGGCAGAGAGTCCCCATCATCGTCCCTCTTTGAGTAGTGAATTTTGGTGATGCCTTCCCTAATATGGACTGAAATCTAGGGCTCCTCGAGATCCCTCTCTGTTTGTGTCTAGGCTGGTTCCTTAAGCTTGGGCTGTCCTCAGCTGGGCAGGTGGACACCATATGGCCAATGAATGCTGCCTTGCCCAAAGGCCTGTGTTCAGGCTGCCTGGGGGTTTGGGACTGTGGAGCTGGACAGGCTGAAGACAGCATCTGGCTACTGACTCAGGTGGTGAAACAGAAGCCTCAGCAGAGTTCCACCCCACAGCCTCGTCCCGCCCGCTGGCTTTGTCAGCGGACATGCTTCTCTCACCGGGAAGGAGCCCCCAAAAGTGCTGGGAAAGGCCAGTCTCTCCTGAGGGTCTGGGGTGTCTAGTACGGCCAGGAGGGTGAGGTCTCCTCCCACCCCTCCCCAAGCTTCCTGGAGTTTACTCTGTGGCTCTGACCTGCAGCCTCAGCTCCTGGGCGGAATCCGTGCCCAGGTCCAGTAGGAGGAGCTCTCTGCGCAGGTAGTTTTCCAGCTGCTCCAGGTACCTCGGCTTGGCAATGCCCAAGGACTGCTTCTCCAGGCTCCTTCAGGGGATACGCTGGGCTGGCACGACCATCCCGCAGGGTCTCTGCACCCACCGTTGGTTTGTGCTGCACATACCTGTGTCCTGTCTCCTGGTCTGATGCCCAGTTTCCATCAGCCCCCCCATCATCAGGCTGGCCCTGGCTTACCCTGTTCGCTTCCGGTAGTCCTCTGAACAGGGCTTTCGGTTCAGCAGAATGGTCTGGCCACTGGCGTGCATGGGCCATGGGGACAAGTGGCTGCCTATGGAGAACTGAGTGGGCTGCAGGGAGGCACAGGTGGGTTACTATGGCAACACAGTTTTCCTCCCGGATGTTTCTGTCTCCCCTCCACCCTCAACGTTTTTTACAACACCTCTTTAATATGGTTCCTGATTAAGGCTGTGGGCCTTAGGCAAAGCTTGGGTTAAGTTCCATATTCAGGTCCTAGAAGCCCTTCCAAGCTAATGGTAACTGGCTCCTGACCCTCCTGGTGTAGAAAATGCCATCTCTTTTGGCTCTTCTTTGCATGGCCCTTTCTACTGCATTCTGCTAATTACATATGTGTTTTATCTCATTCTTTCCCTAAATATTTATGGAAGGCACTTAGTAGGCCTTGGGCTAGGTCCTGGCAGGACTCCAGGCTCCTGAGGGGGCTCTGGGTTAACCATCTCTGTATGCCCAGAATCAATGGCATCGTGCTTCACACTCTCAAGTTGTTGTTGTTGTTGTTGTTATGTGCCATCGAGTCGGCCCCGACTCATAGCGACCCTTCCTTGGGTTTCCGAGGCAGTATCACTACGGAAGTAGATTGCCCAATCCTCCTTCCGAGGAGTGGCTGGTGGGTTTGAACCGCCAACCTTCTGGTTAGCAGTCAAGTGCCTTAGCCACTATGCTACCAGAGCTCCTTCACACTCTCAAGTAGTACTCAGCAAATACAAATATCGTGGAATAAATATATGCGGCAGCACAGTAATTGAGCATGCACGAAAGGTGTAGTAAGAACTACACTGTAACCCACTGGGTTTGTATGTTCACACATACTTTTCCCTGGTTCAAGAATTCCCTAATCTCCAATGTACCAAATGTGAGTGACCAATATGGCAGCATTGAGGATGAGAAAGACAGAGAGAGTTACATGGGCAGTACAAACAACAAATATGAACCCCTTT